CTCCAGCTCCTCCGGCGGATGAACGACTTTTATTCACCAGGTAGGCGAGCGGCCCTGACAGCGGACAGCCTGGAGGCGGGTTCAGCAGTGACCTCTTCCCTCTTGTTCCCACAGAGTCCTGCAGAGCCAGCTGCCTCCGGTTTGAAATAGACGGAACCCAGGTGGGTTGGATTCCTCCCCAGGTGGCTCCTCTGTTGACCCGGTATCCGGAGGTGTTCGAGCCGCCGCACGGTGGCGCAGTGTCGCTGTGCCGCAGCCTGGACTCGTACGGGAGGAGGTCGGAGGCCGTGGATGGAGCCCTGCAGGCCCTCAGACAGGAGCCCTCTCTGAGCTGTCTGAGAGGATGGAGAGACGAGGCAAGACACAGTCCACCACAGCTTTGATTTCTTCCTTCTACTCTTGCACATAATTTGCATTTTAGAGTTACTGTTAGTGAGAGTGTATATTACACTTACTGTACATTTATGTTTATTTTTACTTGCTGCATATTTTATTTATCTGTATTTATGGTTTTGGTAACTTTACTCTTTCTGCTGAAACAACCAATTGTCCCCCTCAGGGACCAATAAAGTATTTCTGTTCTATTCTACGAGGTGTGTCAGAAAAGTTCCAGGACTGGTGTCACAAAAGATATATATCAAACCCAAACTACAAACTAGGAGTTTTCCCCTTCAGACGATCAACCAGCACGTCTACAAAGAGATCCTGCAGCGTTGCTTCGTTTAGAGAAGAGACGAGAGTTGTGGCAGGACAAGTCGTGGCTGCGTCACCATGACAACGCCCTGAGCATCCCACAGTTCCTGGCTGAGAAGAACATCACCGTGCTGGAGCAACCTCCCGACTCACCCCACCTGGCTCCGTGGGATTGTTTCCTTTTCTCCAAGCTCAAGGGGACCCGTTTAGAAGACGTGGACGACATCAAGATGGCTGTGACGACAGAGCTGAGGAGGATCCTGGAAGAATCCTTCCAGGAGTCCATGGCGGCGTGAGAGAAGGCTGGGGAAGTGTGTTAGACTCCAGGGGGATTACTATGAAAGGGCAAATTTTTAGTTTGTAGTTTGGATTTGAGATATATCTTCTGCGACACCAGTCGCAGAGATGGAGCACTGGCACCTCACAGGCAGGACGTCCTGGGTTTGAAACTCAGAGTTGGTTTTCTGCGTGGAGTTTGGATGTTCCTCCTGTGGCTGTGTGGGGTTTTCTCCTGGTGCTCCAGCTCCCCCTACAGCCTAAAGACAGTCATGAACAGACGTTTACATCCACTGGTAAAGACCAAGTGTGTGTCGCGGCAGTCTTGAGTTTCCAGTGACTCCTATAACTCTGAGTTTCCTGACAGCCATGCATGTTTGTCACAAAAACAATCGTGCATTTTGGTTCTTTAATACATTTATTAAAGGTCTTCTGGAAATATGACAAAATCTGCTGGGTTAAAAATAGACATACAGCAATGCTAATATTTGGTTAAACATCCTTTTGCCATTTTCAGGTGCTTTTGGTTTCCGTCCACAAGCTTCTGGTTGAATCATTGACCCTCCCCTTGACAGAACTGGTTCCATCACACACCTGAGAGAAGGAATGTTAATGTTTGTCTGTCCATCACCCTACCTGATGACGGTGATCTCATGCTGGACTGGATCCTGGACGGTCATAATCAACAATCACTCTAATTTTAAATCGTTCTTATCTTTCAGAAGTACAGTGTGATGCCAAAATTCTCTGACCCTCCGTTGATGTGGATGGAAAGAGCTGCTACAAGTAGGTGTTGGCGCACTTCGTTTGTTTTGTCCTTGTGTGTGTTGTGTTGTCTGACTGTGCTGCTGCTGCGCTGCAGGTCTTTTCGGGGTGAGGCGCTATGGAGTCCATCTCAACGGTTATGTCGTCAGTGACAGCGGGGAGGTCAGCATGTGGCTGGGTCGACGCTCCCCCACGAAGCAGACGTACCCCGGACTGCTGGACAACGTGGTGAGTTCTGACCCAACAGCTAACAGCAATAATAGATAGAAATCAAATAATCAATGCGGCTTCTCAAACTCAAAGTTCTTCAAGTTTCACAAATGAATGGATGCGTGTGTTTGGGCAGGCGGCAGGCGGTCTGGCTGCTAACGCTGGCGTCAAACACACTCTAGTGAAAGAATGTCAGGAGGAAGCGTGTATCCCAGCAGCCATCGCTGAGAAGGCTCGTCCTGTAGGAACCGTCAGGTGAGGTTCATACCAACACTCATCTGTGGAGTCTGAGGATATTTTAAAGTTTAATTTGACGATTCACCTGAAAGGGCAACACTGAATGTATCTCCTAGCAAGTACTATGTGTGCATTCAGGTCTGGATATATCTTATTCCTCTGTGTTACTGTTGTCCAAAAACACTGCTGCTCTGGTTGACATGTTCCTTCACTGCCTTGAACTCTACTACTGCTGTCAGACAGCAGACATCTGCAGTAGATGAGCTTATAAGCATATGAACACAGATCATTATTGATTATCATTCGCACCATTCACTAATAACTAAGACACAAGTCCATCCAAGGTCTTACAAGACATGTTTAACTGTGTGTTTAGTTTCAGCGATGTCGTCAGATGTTCCTTGTTGGAGATAGTCCTCGGACACGTCTCTACTGAACAGTTTTTTTTAAAGCCTGTACCTGAAGGACCCACCAGACTTTAGTTCAGTCTGTTCCTCAGCATGGAGAAGCCGAGGGACTCCATTCCAACTGCACTCAGTTGTTTTATTTTAGTTTGCTCAATGGCAACCTTCGTACAGGCTTCAACAAGCTTCAAACCCTAGTTATGTTTCCTTAAAACCACAGACGCATTGTTGTTGTTGTTACGCTAGATTAGATTAGATTAGATTAGATAGAACTTTATTGATCCCTTTGGTAGGGTACCTCAGAGAAATTGTTGTTCTAGAAACAGCACAACACCGACAGAGACGATATCACACATTGATTAGGAAAAAAAAGCAGTAAACAAGGAAGATCTTATATATATATATTTGAAAAGGTGATTGGTTCGACTGCATCTGCCATTCAGGACCTCTGAAGGACCACCTTCATGCAGGATGTCCTGCTGAATATTACAAAAGAAAATAACTATCTTGTAATAACACCAGTTGAATGTTTGTTTCTAGTTACACCTACAATAATGAAGAGGGTGTATTTGCAGAGAGCCAGTTTGTCTTTGATTTGGAGCTTCCTTTGGAGTTCAAGCCCAGAGTTGGGGATGGAGAGGTGCAAGAGTTCTACCTCCTGCCCATAGACAAGGTTCGTACTGCTGACCCAGTCCTGTACTCCTGTGGTCTAAAAGGGGGACTTTAAAGATGTAGACGTCTCAGAAATACGAGCGGTGTTTTCTAAAAGCTCGCTCTCGTCATAGGTGAAGGAACTGCTGGCCACAGACGACTTCAAACCCAACTGTGCCATGGTGGTGTTAGACTTCCTCATCAGGCATTCCTTCATTGAGCCAGACACCGGTTTGTGGCTTTTCAACTCTTAAATATTGCAATTCTGTTTTCTTTGTACAGCTTTGTGTTGATGATTTTCCATTTTCATTTTTTCATTTCAGAGCCGTGCTACCAGGAGTTTGTGACGGGACTCCATCAGAAGTTGTAGACTGCAGCTGAGCATGAAACCCGCTGCGAGAGGCGAGGCGCCACAAGCCGAGCGTTTCATCGTTCACATCAGGAAACACGCGGAACAGACATTAGACCAGTGGACGCCTGGACGTTGGTCTGATGACACTAGATGTGAGGTAGTCGGTTGCAGCCAGATTGTGTGCAGAAGTCAGGAACTGTCGAAACTTGCCAGACTCTGAGTGTGGCAACTCGAGTCTACGAAATGCGTCTGCTTGCTCCCAGGCGTTTGGTTCTGCGGGTCCTGACCAGAGCTGGTAAACGAACGAGAACCTAACCAGCTGAAAAGGACCCCGCAAGAGATGCATGAAAAAAGTGCCTTCAAAAAAAAAAACACTTTCTTTGGTTTTTAGCTTATTAAATGTCAATTTTACTGTAGTTAATTTGGAAACACTTTATTGTATACATAGTGGTGTATCTATACCATCACCTTAAAAAAGAAATCCAACTGACTGAATGATTATTATTGTTGTATATAATATATATTATATTGATTTTTTTTAAAAAAGTGAGCTTTTACAAGATTGAATTTCCCTTCTGGGATAAATAAAGTAGTTTTCATTTCATTTTTCATTTCATCTATCAGTGCAGTGTGGCTGCATAATTACACCACATGCACCAGTTAGAGTGTTAAAGGGTAACTAGTGATTTTTCTCAAAGTTACTCCCATGAAAGGAGCAAAACAAGAATCAATGTACTGTCTGTAGAACTAAAACCTAAACCTTAAAGCAGCTTCACATCACTTTCATGTCTCAGGGAAGTAGTTCCTGGAGGGTCGAAGTGTGAAATTACTGCAGTATTGTGGCAGTATTAGTACTAACGGTAGTTTTATCAGTTTTAACCCGATGGATGGACCTTTGGATTTGGGGTAACGTGTTATCTCTGGAACAGCTGAGCAAGAGGTCAGAGTTTGAGGGACAGAATCCTTCTTTCTTACCTCGCCAACGTGGGTTTCCCATCGACTTAAAGCATCAAAATTCACGACATTTTCAGGCATCAACAGTTTCATATCCACGCAAATGTGTCGTTTACGATCTCCATTTGCACGGTCTTAATTTTCAACACAGCTTTTTTCTCTTTTTCCTGTTTTTTAATTTATAAAAAAGGGACACGCCACCAGTTTTACCTTCAAGCGTGAACAGAACCCTGATCATGACGACTGCACATTGTGTTCTGATCTGTTCTCTATGTACCAATTTGTTCCACGTGTTCTCGTAAGCTGTTTGACGAGCATGTATGACTACGGCTCTAAATGAAATGGCAATATTGATCATTTTAGACACGTTTCTCCAAAATCCAGCCAACAGATTGTGTGTCTAGAAACTTGTGACCTCTTCTAGAATCTAAATAAACGAGTGCGGTTCACTAGACTCTGTATTATTGTGTAACTGTAAAAGGCATCAAGACACAAAACACGTGAGCAGTGGTAAAATTCCATCATTCTGTTAAGTTTATTTCCTTTAGAATACATTTAAAAAAAGACAGCTGGAGAAATGTGAGCATATATTTGTCTGCAAAAGGACATTTCTCTCGCAACTAAGCGCCCACAGTTGCGTTTTGAATCATATCTAAAGTGTATACCACACTGACCTTTATGTTGTGTGCAAATAATTCAAGGTTAGCCAGTAGACTGTCACATAAAGGTAAAGTAACATACGAAGCGGAAAAAATAAAACAATAGTTGTCCTGTGAGAGGAGATAAAATAAAACACGGGTACATGCTAAATGTTCAAATGAAAGCTTTAAATAACGGGAGAGAGTCTGAAGCTGCATGTGTCACTCTAGGATTCTGTATAATGCACATTTCCACAGTTCTTGTTCAGCACATTTCCTGAAGAGAAATTCTGTTTTCCTTCACCGGTTGCTTCCAGTTTGCATCTTTTTCCATGACTGTTCGTCGTATACGTTCCCTTTTTCTTAGTGCATACTGTTTGGGACAGAGTTTTTTTTTTAAATAAAATTGCACCATAAGCTGTGACCATCTTTTAGTCTGCAGAGTAAAATCGCTTGTCTACTATTTTTTTGCTTACTGAAAGTCATTCATGCGAGATTAGATGATAAACCGTGTGATGTGTAATGCGATAACAGACTAAGCTAATTAAAGCGTAGCCAAGTGTCCAAATAAATACCAGCCCAGTTTATTTCTGACAGCTGAAGCTAAAGTTCTGCAACATGACAAACTATTTAGCTGCACCTGATGATCTTTGACCTGTTAGACCGATCCTTTTCCGTGGCAGGAATAATTTCTATAAAGGGATGCAGCTCTTTCTCTCTTTGGAGATACTTGTCGATTCTACGATGCTGCAGGTGACAGGCAATAACCAAAAATAGTCTTTAACAGCTGGAAACTAAACTGTGATTCAGACACGTAGGCCGACACGGTGTGATTTGCCATTTGATTGTGGAATGGACGGATCTGGTCTCTGTGCTCTCTCTGGGATAAGTAGCTGTTATTATGAGAATTTACTGGCGTTATCATGTGGATCCTTCTGCTGTCTGATGCTGCAGGTATTTAAAACCCTCAGAGAGAAAAGTTCTAAACAGCTGGAATCAACAAACTGTTTAAACGTTTCTCGTCGCAGTAAAGCTGCACTTTCATGCACATTTAATCACGTAGCTGATTAGATTGACGAGTGAGGAAAGGTGTGTTTTGAATTTGGCAAACCAACTGTACAGTCTCTGATGTTTTTTGACTAATTTTGGTACTGAAGTGTGGAAAAATGCTTCCCTAAATCCCTTCAGACGACTTGTTTGTGCCGTTAATGCGACGTGTTGGCAGTGAAAGAGGATTGTCACTGGGTCTGAAATCGATTGTTGGCACCATGTTGACCAGGGTGCGCTTTCAGACGTGAAACCGCAACTTGCCGTCAGATTAACGGAACAGGGTGCAGGTCTGATGTCATGTATTTATACTGTGGAAATGTGTGTTATACCTGAAAACATAGAGGCGCATGATGGAACACACTCGCTTGTCTGGTGTCTAAAATGATTATATTTGACGTTCTGATCCTCTGTGTTGAGAGATAAATTAAGGCTCTGCTCCTGTGTGAAAACTGTCTAGAGGATAATACACTTTTGTTACCTCTTTAATACCAAACTGAATACAGTGTTCACATCGTTTTCTGACTTGAAAGGGAAGTTCAGGTCAAACACTCAACTTAACGCCAATTCATGGTTTCCACGTCCGTGTGCACAGCAGCTCTGTTCATGCTTCAATGGAGCTGTTGCGTTTCCCCTCAGATGGAACACAGAAAAACACAAAAGGAAACAGCAGCTGACTCTGCAGCACCCCATCAGTGATTACTCCTGAAGTGTGTCAACGCAGCACAGGAGTTTTGACAACCACCTTTGGGCTCCATCGATAAAAACATGTACAAACAAAGCTCCTCCACTACTTTAATTAAATCTTTATACTCGATAACTTATAAAGGTGTGGATGAGGGAGAGTCTTCTGGTAGTGCAGACCATCACTAACGCTGGGCTGCTTGCGGATTTGGCTGGACATTTACTCGTACATGGATGCAGTCAGCATGAATTGGCCTTAAGTTGGTCTCATAACCATCGTGCATGTAGGTTAAAAAACAAATAATCAAACTTTGGATCAAACACTGGAGGTTCATTAAAAACAAAAGCAGGTTTGTGTGAATTTAAGTTGCTGAGATACGAAGGAAAATGAAAAAAAAATACAGAATAGTAGGGTATAAATGAAAAGACAAGTCTTAAGGAGGCTTTCATGTGATGGTGCCCTGCTGGTCTCAACCACCAGCCCCAGAGCTGTGGTTCAGCTTGAAGGAGACCGTCCTTAAAGAACAGAGCCGACTCCAGTCTGTGATCGCCTAATGTCAGACCTAATGAGTGCTGAAACAAGATTAAGGTATTTTTATTTGGAAACTAAAAGTTGTAACCATGGATTTAAAAATGTATATTCTCCCCTTTTCTGCAGTTTTTTTTCTTCTTTCGGGTTGGTTTGACTTTTCTCCCTCATCCCTAAAAAAGGCCCCGCTGAATTCTGCCCGCCATCGTGACAAAGCAGACAGAAACGTTTGTGTTGGACGGGTTAGTTTCCCCCCCTTACCTCCCTTAACCTGAGTGACTAGACACTCTACAACAGGAGGCAGCCGGTCTTCTTGCCTCTCCTCTTGGCCTGCAGCGCCGCCCTGGTGGCCATCTCAAACACCTCCCTTACACCGTCCTTCGTCTTGGCTGAGCACTCCAAGTAGCCAAAGGCGTTGATCCGGTTGGCCATCTCCTTCGCCTCTTCTGACTTCACTGGTTCCTGTTGGAATAAACCACAGCATGAAGGAAAACTAGTCCTGCAACACGCTGACAACAGGACGTACGAGGTGTGTCAGAAAAGTTCCAGGACTGGTGTCATAAAAGATATATTTCAAATCTAAACTAAAGTTTTCCCTTCATAGTAATCCCCCTGGAGTCTAACACACTTCCCCAGCCTTCTCTGCCGCCATGCACTTCTGGAAGGATTCTTCCGGGATCCTCCTCAGCTCCGTCGTCACAGTCATCTTGATGTCGTCCACGTCTTCAAAACGGGTCCCCTTGGGGGAAGAGGAAACAATCCCATGGAGCCAGGTGGGGTAAGTAGGGAGGCTGCTCCAGCACGGAGATGTTCTTCTCAGCCAGGAACTGTGGGATGCTCAGGGTGTTGTGAGCAGGAGCGTTGTCATGCTGAAGCAGCCATGACTTGTCCTGCCACAACTCTCGCCTCTTCTGAACGAAGCAAACGCCGCAGGATCTCTTTGTAGACGAGCTGGTGACTACTTTGAAAACTTGCAGTTTGGGTTCAAAATCTATTTTGTGACACCAGTCATGGAACTTTTCAGACACACCTCGTATGTTACTGCATAGTTTAGTAAAGAAAGCATATTAAAAATACTCCATTAATAGTGGGATCACCTCACTGTAACATCCCCAAACCAGTAACAACTTTGCCTCTGTTGAGCAGTTGGAATATAAAGATAACATTCCTGTGAGCTGTTAGTACAGACGTCTGCTGCAATACCTGCTTTTGTTCCTCATCCGCCCACGTGAAGCAATGGAAGACTTGTTTAAGTGTAATTTATCAGTGAGTTACGTTACTTCATGGCCTTGAAATGTGCAAAAAAAACCCCACTGACCTGTTTCATTTTAGCTAACTCTCGCCGCGTGTGCTCGTCGTTTCGCAAATCTTTCTTGTTTCCCACGAGAATGATGGGCACATTGGGACAGAAGTGCTTGACCTCAGGAGTCCACTTCTCTGGAATATTCTCTGCATGAGGTACAAAATGGGCAAGTTACAGACGGAGCAGAAGGAAACAGAATGTTCAAAAGAGCAACAGAGAGGAAACGTCACCTAAGCTGTCAGGGCTGTCGATGGAGAAACACATGAGGATGACGTCTGTGTCCGGATAAGAGAGAGGCCTCAGCCGGTCGTAGTCCTCCTGACCCGCTGTGTCCCACAGAGCCAACTCCACCTGTAGGAGCACCATGGGACCAGTTTACTGCCGAGGACGTTACTACACCCACACATCAGTCTGTCTTCCTTTTCATTGGCTCAGAGGCACAGGTATACATCAACAGTGTGTACAGGGTTATTTAGACACCTGTGGCTCTTTAATGTATGCAAACATGGATGGGCTGATTTTAATTCTCTGGTTCTATATGACCCTGTGTGAATAAAACTTTGTGAACGACTATTAACAGATTTGTATTAGAGATGGTCTAAAATTTAGGCACAACTTTAGACTGAGTGCCCACGCTGTTATGTGTTAGTGCTCAGTGTCCACTGTCCAGACCTCCAGACCAACCTGTTTGCTTGGTTCGCTCCGACTACACCGCTCCTTTCAGTTTTGCCTTTCACTGTTTTTCCCCATGTTGCCCTTCATAGCTCTATGTTAGCAGCATAGTGGATTCTACTCAGCAATTCCTTTGTGTCACGTTGCAAAAGACACTTGAAAATCCACTTTGAACAACCAGAGCCGAGACTAAATCCGATTGGAATCGCATTTCAGACAATCTCCAAATTTCTGATTTGCAAAAAAATTGATTTAATTTTGTTTCTTGCTGTTCAATCAATTTATTTATTTTATTTTTCCTTTATTGAACCGAGTGGGTTGATTGAGAACAAATTCTCATTTACAATAACGACGTGGCCAAGAGGCAGCACAGAACAGAAAATACAATAAAAGGAATACATCCATAAAATAAAAATCAATACACAAACAAAACATGACAACAAAAGGCTTAAAGATAAAATACACTAAAAGCAGGTACAGGAATCGGTAAATACTGCCTTCACCATATTTTTAAAAGATGATAAAGGTATAAAAGAGGTGAGTTTAAGTGTTTTCTGTTAGTGGTTCCAGTCGAGAGCTGCAGAAAACTGAAATGAATCCGGATACAATGTGGATATGTTGCCACATAATGGCTGTGGGCTCAGGCGACATGTTTTGCATTGAACCAGGTGGAATAACGCTGGAATGTGGTTGTGGCAGTCTGACTGGAACGGACTCTAACTGTACTGTAAATATGTAAACACAAAAAAATGCCATTTTAATCGACATCTTACCTGTTTACCATCCACTTCGATATCTGCCACATAGTTTTCAAACACCGTAGGAACATAGACCTCAGGGAACTGATCCTTGCTGAACACTATGAGGAGGCAGGTCTTGCCACAGGCTCCATCGCCGACTATTACCAGTTTCTTTCTGATCGCAGCCATCTGAAAGAACAATAACAGGACAGAGATATTTACCAGTATGCAAGATCAGGGAAAGTTTACCAGAGAACTCAGGCAGGGCAGAGATGGAAGCTTATTAAGGTGTCCACAGCAACATATTGCACAGGGACGTATTGGTGCAGACATGGAACAAAAATGAGCTGATACAGTTAATAATGCTATGAGGAAAGATACCTCAGAGAGGAAACTGAGTCCATATTTTTTTTCCTATGGGCTTGTGCATGTATTTGTTTTCTAAATTGCTCTGTTCTGTTAATCTGACGGCAACTAAACGGATCGGCTGCATGAATGGATGCCCACTCTGGCCTCTTACCTGTAAAAGTTGCGTCGGCAATGTCACTAGGTCGGACCTTGTAACATTTCTGTGTAACTTTCAGCACTCACAAGTGTGAACTAAGCCTTCACATTAACAGACAGACACAAGCAGCAGTACTTTGAGTTGTGTGATGAAGTGAAGGTTTTTTTTCTCCACATTTTTAAAAATCCCAGAGACGCTCGATTTGTATGCCAAAATCACAACACTCCGTTTTTCACGCATTTTGCTCTGCAATTTCAAATTTATTAGGCAACAAATAAAATCTGAATAATAATTAAACCTTAAAAACAGACACGAACAGTTTAAAGGTTAATGAAACTCACCAATAATGAATGTAATCTGTGTTTTTCCCCACAAGATGTTAAGACGAGCTGAAGTTTATAACCTGCAGCATCAGGTGCATCACAGACAGTGAGCTGTCTGCATTTGCACAGTGAACAACAGCGCTGTTAACCTAATTAAATTCTTATCATTTTAAATTATAGCTGAGAGAGCGGATCAGTCCAGATCAGGGTCTAACAGCAGGTCTACATGTCTTCACATCAGACAGGTGAGCTGTCACACACAGAATGACAGTTTAGTTAACAGCTGTTCAGGACTCTTTCATCGTAGTTTATTGCAAACCTGCAGCATCAGACAGCGCTAGGACAGCACCAGGAGTGACTTCACTAATTAGATTTACCTACAACTTATCTCAACATGGGGAAAGGCTCAATCGGGATCTGACAACAGGTGACACTGTGAACTTTCATTCACCTCAGACAGGTGAGCCGTCAAACAGAGTCACAGTTTATCAGCTGCAGTTTAATATTTTGTCTTTCAGTTTCACTATTTGATCAGCTGCTATTAGTTTTTCGTCTTTCATTGCATCATTTTGCATTATATACATCACATATACACATCAGTCTCCAGCACTGTGGGTGGTATTTGTATGAATGCAGCCGTGAGGACGATTAACAGAAAAGTGTGTGAAAACAGCTTAAGAGGCAGAATGCTGTCACGTTAATGGACTGATGAACCCAGCAAGTGTCCCACGTCCTGAGGTAATACTGAAGCACCAGTGAATCCCAGCCACCACCTGCTGTTATACAAACAAAATACTAAGATCTGAACAAAATCTGTGATGATACAGCAACACATTTCCTGAATTCTGTCTGCACTGACCCCAACATCATTTTAGCATTAAACAACACACACCTGTACAGAAGCCTTCCCTTCAGTCATGCTTGGTGTGAAGCAATAAAAACCCCAAGCGCATCTCTACAGATCAAGTTCCACTATGTACCACCAACAAAATACTTCCCATTTGACTTCTGTTTAGGCCTGAAAGCAGAAATAAGGGATGAGACATGAGCCTGCTGGGTGTTGACTCAGCCCAGATTCTGATTTTTATGGGCAGATTTTTTACCAAATAACCATCAATCCTGCCAGTCTTTCTGTAGCCACTTCCATGGACTTTACAGACTACAGTGGGCTAATCTTACACACTGTCAGCACAGTTGCACACAAACGCCACTTAGTTATGGCGTATTTAAGAATTTAGCAAGTTTGCGTCACAGGGGAACTTCACTTCCTCTGTTATTTACCGTGAATGTAAAAGGCTCTTGTAGCTGTCAGCTCAACCTCTAACGAACTGCTTGAAGTTACACTTAACTTGCCATCCCGGTGTCACCTTAATTTTCTTATATAAATATTTTTTGGGCTAATTTTCTTCGCGGAATCAGTGGAGCTCAGAGCTCACTTATAGCTAGCCGCAGTTTCCACTCCATCTATGGAGGCTAACTATTAGCTTGCCAACTTTGCCTTTTTGCTCCCCTCTCGTCAAGCTGGACACACACCGTTTTATGAGCACAGCACACCACAGCACCACAGAAACACCAAGCAACTTAAGCAGAGGCTGATCGTGAGTAGTAAGGTAACCATAACTTTACCGTTTTATTGGAAATACTCGCCTTTCTGTAGTTTCCCTGTCGGACCCAACAGTTCCGCCCCCAACAGTGCCACGAAGATTAGGCCCGCCCCCCGCCCATACTTCCAGCCAATGGGACGCAGCAAAATCCTGATTGATCTGTAATGTAGCCAATCACGACAGCAAATATACAACCGACCAGTTTGTCTCAGCGAGTGTGGATGAAGAAATACGCAGAGCTTGCTCCGGGGAAAGCAATAAAGAATATTTAGGTAGAATTGAAGATTGGAGGTAGTTTTCTTTTTTAAGAAAAAAATAAAAAGGAAAAAAAAGGGATCGTCAAAATGAAAGCACTGGATAGAAAAGTTCATCGAATAGTTTTTCCTGAATAAATGAATAAATAAATCGTACATTTCCACAAATCTACAATTCTAGAGTGTCTCTTTTGAGCCTGTCTACCTTGGGGACGAGACAAGATTTTATATATGTATATAGATTTCCCAGCTATTCCCCAAAAAAGCCCTTTTTTGTTTTGAACCAAATTTTTAAAAAAAGAAAGAGCAGACTCTCTGTATTCTTTTTTTTTTTTTTTTTGCTGTCCACAAATATTAAAAATCAAACGGAGCAAAGTCAAGTAACGTTTTCTTTTTTTCTTTAGTCTAATTTCTATTTGTCAAGTTTACCTCATAAATTAAAAAAATCACAACGAGCAGACCACGCTTTTTTTTTTTTTTTTTTTTTTTGCTGTCCACAAATATTAAAAATCAAACGGAGCAAAGTCAAGTAACGTTTTCTTTTTTTCTTTAGTCTAATTTCTATTTGTCAAGTTTACCTCATAAATTAAAAAAATCACAACCGGAATCGGATCTAACCCGGAAGTGACATTTAGCCGTCAAAATAAAAGCTAAACGTGTTAGAACTGTACTGTCAGTAGATTATCAGCCTCAGATAAAGGTATATTAGCTCGCTAGTGTAATGTATAGAGAAATAATTTCAGTTGAGTTGTATGAATTCTTTTTTTGCAAACTGTAACACCTACTACATATTTCCTGCCCAAATCAAGACCCTCTTTCCAGTCACGAGCAGATCTCTCCACCGCCTACCGCAAAGGTCACAAGGTTAAAACATAAACAGCATTTTAAACAGCTGTGTAGCATGGACATTCCTCCATCGTTACATGTGGTGCTGTTGTCTAGTTCTGGTTTACACATAATGACAGTGTGTAAAATAAGTGACTACAAACTCGTTCACATGAAAGGAGGCATCTGACACATCATGTGACTCTTTTTCTGCACAAAATGAAACAATTGTGTGTCACCCACTTGAGTCAATAGGCTGTTATGATGGAGAGCTACGAAGAATTTTTTGAAAAGCATGACTGGTACTGCAAATGATGCATAGCAGGGATGCTGGTAGAAATGTATATTAATATATCTATTTTACCAATAAGTGCAATATTTCTAGCTTAAAGCTGCACATCAGAGCTGTCAAACTTCAAATATTTAAACATGATATTGTGTTAAAACTATCCCATTGTGCAGGACATCACTTTAATTTTTGGCCAAGTCAAAGTGAAACTACTGATTCAGTATTCTCAGTAATAAATATCAACAGACTAACCCGGCCATGGTCTACCAGCTGTGCAAATGCTCTTGACAGCAATCAGGACCAAACAACGCCATATTTTATGTGATTTCTGCATCACCAGCTGAATACACGTCTGGTTCCCATTTCAACACGATACACTCACTGTGTGATATTTTAATTACATGCCTTCATTCAGTGATATTCATAACGTACAGCTCAACAGGTTTGCAGATAAAACATATTCCCTCAGATGAGAATCTATATGACTCAATGATTTAGTTAAAAGGACACTTTTCTTCCACTTGATTTAAATCTGAAACTCTGAACATAACCTGCACCAGACCTCCAAAGCAACAGTTACCATGGAGATCTAACAGATTAAAAGAGGACAACCTTCCTGACACTGAAAACTTTGACTTTAAGCTCAACATACCTCACTAACTAACTTGTTAGTACAGCCCTCACACAGCCACATTTTTATTTTGTAATTTGTGATGATCACGTGGTAAGGCCAGCGGAAGCAGAATTGTATGAGCCAATGAGCGGCGAGCTGGCGAACATAAAGTTCAGCCATTGGCTGGTTCAAAACGTCAGCGACTTAAACGCTAACGTTCGCTTTGCGCGGCGTCTGCAGTTTGATTCGCATCGCTGTGGACACAGACAGCTTCGGTAAGCTTGGCTTAGCGATGTTTATTTTCTAGTATAGCAGTAGTTGTTTCTTTGTTTATGTTTACTACATGAGATAGCCACCAGAAGTTAGCGGTATTTAATGTGTGTTATTTGAAAAGGCGGTAGTTAGACTGGTATAATGGTTCCTGACGATATTACATGTAACGTTAGCTCCACTGTTGTTCTGGCTCGACGACGTTACATTTACATAAAACTCATATAAATAACATGTAATACACAAACGCCTTTACTACAGAAATGTGCTTTGTCCTAACGGCTAAATATTGGTCTGTTTTGACGCTTTTCCGGTTGCTCTGTTAACGTAGCGACGGAGTGTTAGCTTAGTACAAAGGAACAAACTTGGTAGCTGAACTGAACACGACTTTATTTCATTTACCATGTTTAATGTTTTCTTATTAAGGTGAGTTGTCGAACAAAGACGTCCTGTAAACATGGAGGAAGGCGACATCAAGCGCTACGAGTTTGATGCTCCGTGCCACGTCGTTGACCTGAAGGAGTTCGCGAGTACAGAAAACGACGACGAGTGGTTCGGTGAGTCTTCCTTCAGCACGTAAACACATCTGTTATGTGGTTGACCTTCAGTTGCACGACCGGTAGAAAACTTTTTTTTTTGTTTCGCCTGCTGCTTGACTGTCTCTGAAGACCAGCCCCTGAGGAATCTGGGCTGCATTGTTGTTTTTCCTCCAACCACACGAATGTTTTTGAGGCGTGGGATGTTGGTGCAGTCCCCAAAACTGACCTTACACTACCAGACTGGGCTCACTAAAAGCAGCTTCTGTAGGTTCTTCAACCTTTTTTCCCCCATCAAAAATTGCAAGTGATTGTATTTGCATTTGAGGGAATGTTAAAAAAAAAGGGCGTTGCATGTACCCAGAAACTTCAATCCTTTTCGCTTAACTCTGCTTTTTGATTGTTTTATTTTTTTAGTATGAAGGACTTTGTTGTTTGTAGCCTAAATAAATGTTCATTACAAATCAACAGCAGTCTGTAAAGCCTCACGCATCTTAAGGATTAGTAGGTTAATCTTTTCTTGACGCTGGTATTACAAATGACTAATAATTTTTTTATTGATTTCAACACTTTTCTCAAATGTGATCTAAACGGGTTTGGAAAACATGACATCACCTTTTGCCTGCTGGAAGTAATTTTGGTCAATTTTGACGTCTCTCTCTCTCATAAACAGAACACCACAGTGGGGCAACAGATGGTCATCTGATCACTCCTTGTAGACCAGACCAGCCATTTGTAAAAGGTGATGAGCCTGGGGCTGCTGTAATTCGTCAGGCCGAGACAGATGCACACTCCGGTTAGACTTTGATTTCTTCTTCCTTTTTCAAGTTTTGGATTATGGTCAATTCTTGCTCTCCGTGTCTGCAAGTGTCCACATTGACTGTCTCTGTGATGCTCCACATTTCCTCCAGAAATTCGGACACACCTCAGAAATATTCACCGACACGTTGCTACATCCCAGTCAAATTACCCCGAGTGTTTTCCTGTATTTGATATAAGGAGCAATGTGAATGTCAATGCGAACCTATTGCAGTATCAACACAGCCACATGTGTGGGTGTGGAAAGCATGAATTGACCATTGCAGGTGCAACATAAGTATTTGGTTTATTTCCTTGTGACTGGGATAACATGAAACCCTCTGGAATGATCAATGATTTAGGTCCGACCACATCTCCACCTGCGAACATTGTTACATCCTGGGGTGCTGAAACCCATGCTCAAAATGATGGCCGGCCAGCGAGGACTGCTAATCAACCCCCTGCCCAGCCACGCAGGTACAGACCTTCATAATAGCTCCTCTTATAGAGTGTTTAAATAATCTCTTCATTGTTTGATTGCTCTGTGCATTAGTGGATATGTTTGTAATGAAGCTGCACATGCTTAGACTTAAATTATTATTTGCTTGTTTCAGGAGGTACTGTGTTGTCTGTGGCCCAGTTGTAGGTTTCTGCTTTATCAGAACACTAAGCAGGTCTCCAGACTGCAACCAAAATTGTCATATATGAGCATTTTTTTATATTGTACGAGTTAACATTTCACATGGTGGCATTAGTGTGAGTGCATATTGATCTTTAGGCTGTTTTGCTGCCCTTCTAGCCAGCATGGCTACTGCAGGAGACATTGTGGTTGAATGTAGTTCTTGTATTGGCCAAAGCACTTCAGCTGAGTCCACAGATTGTTCAGTCAGCCTTCACCTTGTTCCCTGTGTTGTTTGTTGGGATACAGACGTAAAAGACCCAAAGCAGCAAATGCTTCTTAACCCTGTTGCAATGTTCTCATTTATATGATTATCTGGGAAAAATGCAAACAGTGACTTTTTAATAAAAGTCCTCATAAATTGGCAGACTTCAGTCCAATTTGTGTAGGGCTCTCCTGTCCAGCTGGACTATTAGTGTGTTGTTGCTGCATAATGCTCCACTGTGTCTTCAACTTGTGCCTTACGTTGTCTATACACCTCTAGGATGGCATTTTGAGAAAAACAGGTGTGTGGTGTTATTACATCTTACTTGTCAAGCAACCAGGCCATGTTTTTAAAACCGTCTTAATTACTGTGTTAATTGTTTTGATATCTTTTGTCACGTGAGGATATTGTATCAGGTAGAACCTTTCTCATATGGTGTAACACTGACAAAGGCACCTAAAGTAGATTTTTGCTTTGGATTGCTATGAATCTGGTTTTGCACTCATCATTAATAGCTTTGTGGTTGCTGATTATGTCGCCTCGTGTAGCTGCAACCGTTGCAGGACGTTGCTGACAAAGTACCTGTTTTTGGTCAACGTCTTCCTTTCTGCATTTCTGTTTAACTGATGTTGCATGTCTTCTTTTTTATTTAAACCAAATGCTAGTTTTCGGTGTTTCTCTTCTGTTCTTTGCTTTATTTGTGCAGCTCTTGGGCTTTACTGTGCACATACGGAGCCTGTATGCCAACACATTTCTGGTTCTTTAAATAGAGTTTAAAAAAAAAAAAACTATAGTCAAGAACCCAAGTTGAATTTAATTCCATTAGATAGACCTTAGTCATGAAAAATGAGAAAATGCACCTTTTCTTTTTATATGAAAGAGCAAAAACAGCTGGAATATGGAGTGTTTGAGTTCAATTGCCTCATGTCACTTTGCACTTCCTACGATGTGATTGTTGTGCAGTGTTGATGCTGAAAGGAAACATAATGCAGCTCTAGTACTTTTTCTGCTTCACTAGCTCAGTAAGTCTCTTCCTGCCTGATATATGAAACTACCGTTTTAGCTGTTACCGTGTTCCAAAGATGAGACTGATTATTATTTGTTTTATACGCTTTTTTTAAGAAATAGGTGTAGGAGGCTGGTGATGAGTGATGGGAAATAGACACAGAGGCTGGTGGAGGAGGGGAGATATTGTTTGAGGCAGTGAAGAAAGAAAAAGTTCTACGTTCACTCACAATGGCTAATGCAGTGCTCGGGCTGCAAAACTAACTGAATGGTAATCATGATTTAACGTGCCACAATTAAATGAACGTGACTGACCGCGGTATTGACATTTTTTAATGCTCTGCTCATAGAAAACAGCCCAATTAGGCAAAAGTAGTTGGTTTTCAACTTGAGGAAATCTGATATTAGAAGGCCTTATTTTGCTCTTCTCGAAGCAATCTTTGCTTATACACCTTTCGGAGTTGCTGCAGTTACTGAGTGGATCAACTACAGGTTCCTATGTGCACAGCTGACTAGTTAGTCTACTGTGTTTATGGAATATCTGAAACTTGTATTGTCTTCTCGATTAGCTCCATAAAAGATCTTAACTTCATCAGCTCAAATTGTAATGAATTTAAGTGAAATTTGATTCTAATTTACTTTTTTTTTCATTTTTAGGGTTTCAAAACGCAAAGAGATGACCAGCGGTCCAGCTGCACCACCGTTAAAGAAACACAAAGGGTTTGTGTCATGACTGTGCTTTTGTGATCTCCTAAAATGTTGTGCAGCCTTTAGTAGCTGTAGGTCATCTGGTCCGTCTTCAGAGGTCCAGTGCCAACAGAAACTGGTTCTAGTTTACACTTCTACAGGAAACTCGTGCATTAACAAAAGAAACATGTCAAATCCACCATTTGTGTTGGCTTTTGCTTTAACTGTGGCTGTTTTGATGCAGGAGTCCTGTTGCCCGAAAATCCAGGAGTGTGCGACTGAACTCGAGGACTGCACATGAGGCTCATCCAGCCACGACGAGCTCCACCACCACAGAGTGAGTCTGTTAGCACCAGTGATACCAGTACTGAGAAATGAGAAGGTGACTGTCAGGGCTCCATTCAAGACACATTATTGTTTTTAAATCGTCCCCTGGGAGGCATTAGCAGTATTTTCTGAGGTGAGAACCGAAAACAACCCTACATTCATTTTGGAACACATAACAGATCAGGATCTTGGTCTGAAGGCCCCTTTAGACTCTTCAACAGCTGGCAGGTTTCGGTTATACAACATTAAAGCATTAAGAGCCTCACCTGACAGACACATTGGGCATCAGGACCAGAACTCCGTGTCGGGCATGATGACTAATGTTTTTTTCCTGTGTAGTGTATCATCACATCTGGTTTACATCTTGATTCCTTGCCTTGACTCCTCTCCTTGCATCTTGGGCCCTTCCCACCAGAGATGTGGGCAGAGGAGGCAAAGAAAATACTTTTTAGGGAGGATTTGAGGCACCTGGCATTCAACAAAATGAGGGATTCTTGCTTTTAAAGCAAAGTCAATTATGTTTGGCTGCATCGTTTGTCCGTCGTTTAGTTACAGCCTACTAAACAGTGTTTATGACAACTTAAAGTAAATACTGTTTATTAGAAATAAAGAGGGATGTATTGTGATTTAGTAATTATGTGTATACTCATTTGTTTGTCCTGCTGCCAGTGGTTTGTATATTTCAGCTGTGTCTCGTGCCTTTTTCATATGTTTATACATTTGGGGAGGTTTCTTCGGGTCACAGCAGCAGTCACACTGAAAGGCTCATCTAGTGGCAGCTGATTTGGGGCTTTGAACCCAAGATGGCGATGCCAAACATCGTCTCTTTGAAATATGCTGCAGGCAGTCTTTGGATCAACAGACCTGATTTTACTCTCATTGACATTTTCCAAGTCCAACACTATGAACGTCTTCCTGAAGAGAGGGAAATGTGTGCTGCTTCTAGCGTAGCTGTTGGGGTCTTGTATGAACCTGCTGATTTCCAGCATGGTTATTAGCAACGTCGCCTCACAGCTAGAAGATCCCTGGTTCATTGTATGCATGTTACTTTTAACTTTCCTCTTGTAACGTCACTGTGAGTCTCATTAGGTGGTAAAACTAACATTGTTGAGACATGTTGCATCAACAGAGTGTCTCCATCTGTTGGCAGCCTTGCTTTGCCTGTAGAAACTAACAATAGAACATCAGCACTTGCTAATCAGTGGTCTTTTTTTAGTGTGGGACAACACTGTCAAATTTTCCTGGATTGACTTCCAGAACCTCATAACATTAAGTGAATGTAGCACCAAGAATGACTTTGAAGCCTTGTTTCTACCTTAAATGGGAAACTGATGGAGAAGCAGAAAAAAAAAGCTGTATTTTTGCTTAGGATTAATGTTCACATTAATAAATGTGTCCAAACAGGCCAAGCACCTCTGAGGAACAGGAGCTGGAGCGCATCAGGAACTTGCAGAAAGAAGTGGCTCTCCATCGCAAAAGGAACGAGGCGAGCTACAAGGCTGCTCTGGCTGGCAGTGAGTAAATATTCCTGAACTTGTTTGGCTTCATCCATACGTATGTGTTCACAGGATGTGAAAGTTGTTTTGAGTTAACTTTACCTCCTAAAAAGAAGCTTTTATCACCACTTTCAGATGTGCAACCAAAGAAGATGGTCCTACCCACAACTGTGCCTAAAGACTTCCATTTCAGCACCGACACACGTGCTAAGGAGTCCGCTTCATCCAGTACATCCCACAAGGTGGTGGACTTTGTCCATCAACTCCGTAAACCCTCCTCTCCAGTAAGTAGCTCTCATATGCTTGTAACTGCTTGTAGCACCATAACCAAGTTACTCTTGAGTTCCCACAAAGGATCAGCACTGACATATAAACCCTGCCTGTGCTAATGCAGCGCTGTCAAATCGGTAACCACAAGTCACACAAAGTAAATGAATGACTGACGATAGAACAACATGCATTTTCTAATATTCTAACAAATGTGGTGAAACAAGAAACCATTTCCAAAGTCACTCACGTCCATTTAATTCAGCAAAGGTAGTAAAATAACAGGAGTCCACTCCGGGTTTTACGAATCAGTCCTCTTAAACACAATTCAAAGCTCCACTTCAGGTTTTATTGGAGATCCAACAAAAGGTCAAAACAGGGACGTTTCATGAGGTGCTGCTCACTCACCCCACAATGAAAATAAGAACTCTGCCATTCTTTGAACCAAGACAAAAAGACAAACGGTTAAACAAAAGGTACACTGGCCTTAACTTACATAAAACACAGCGGGTTATGTACAATTCAAGTACACCAGAGCTGCAACAGCTAATAGATTAAACAGCTGAATATCAACTGCTTAATTAATCACTAACAAATTTTGTGTTTTTTTTTTTTCCTCCAATATCACAGTTAAATTAATACCTCTGGGAATGTGGACAAAACATTTATATTCATTTGTCATCTTGGGCTTTAGGAAACGCTGACAATTTTTCACCATTTTGAAATTTTACAGACCAAACAACTCATCGATTAATTGAGAAAATAATAAACAGATTAACTGACAGTGAAGCTGCAGCCCTAATGTGTAATCCACCAAAATGCTAAATCAGTGAATTCACATGGTTTGTTTTTTGTTCTAGTCAACAATGCTTGCTTTCCTACATCAAAAACATTATTTCACAATGATATATTTCAAACGGCTTAGCTTCTGCACACATTCATTTGTAAAAGTACGTAGACAGACGCTCTGTCGTTTCAAATGTCCCCTTGGTCACTGTGTAAAACCACAGCACAGTGATTAACAGTGAGTCGGGAGGAAATCAATGAAACAGCCACGTGTAAATACTGACTGCAGCTCATTTCATTTCACTTATTTATTTATTTGGTCAGGGATCATGCATTTTTACATAGAAAACATCTGATGTATTGCATATAGAGTGTATAGCATTAAGCTAATTTTCAACTCCCATCCCTAGTTGGGCTTTTCTCATTATTAATACTTTCTTTTCTTGTTTTAAAGGCAAAAGCTCGGCGAGGTGCCACAGTGCCGAAGCCCTTCAACCTGTCGACAGGCAACAAGAGAAAGACGGGGGAGTCGGATGTGTACGTGCCCATGGCTCAGCAGGTGGAGCAGTTCCAGAAGCGAACCCCGACCCGCTACCATTTGCGCAGTCGCAGAAGTCAAGAGAGAGGTACGTCCACGTCGCGTTTAAACACTTCCTCTTGAGAGAAAGGTAATGATATTGTTTCTACACAGTGGGGTTTTACTTGTGTCTTGTTTTTGTCAGGGCCACCCCGAGAAAAAGCGAACCACCTGAAGCTCACTCAGCCTCACTCGCCACACCTGGCGACCCAACAGAGGAGCCGCCCGCCGACCGTCAAGAGCAGCGCCGACCTGGAGGCTGAGGAGGTGGAAAAACTTCAGAAGTAAGGCCCTTTACTTTGGTTTTTTATAACTTTCTAAATCTAACTTTTTTTTGCAGCTTTCATAGAGAGACAGCATGTTCCTGTCACAGTTATATTGTTGAATGTGTGCATTTGGTCTACCTGGTGCTCACATGGCCAATATACAGAAAAGGAGCATGTGAGGGTTTCATTTTTATACTTTGCATCAGTGGGCTGATATAGCAGCTGCTTACAATGGAAGTTGGGCATAAATCAGTGATTATCAAAAACATTATGATCCAAGATGTTGAGATGTAGACGCTGGATTGGTCAGTGGTTGTTCATTTGTCTATCTGCCAGAAATGTGCTGTCCTTTGTGTCGGAGCATTAAAAGACCAGTGTGTCCATTGAATTGAGCATTTAAACTAGGACACTATGAGGCAGACTCCTCACCTACTAGCAACATGTTTGCATTCATAAATATGTTTTCTTTAGCGTGCAATTGTTGCCCATAATTGTAAATTGATGTTTTCCTTCGTTTAGACTGAGCCTATTGTATACACAGAGGGAATATGGATACTACAGTAGCCCAAAATGGACAAACAAAATGCTGCCTCTAGTGAGGGCCTTTGGTATTTATTCTGAAGTGGCAGCAGGCAAGAACGGAGGAGTATTTAGTTGCTTGTGATCTGCCACCTATCCACTAGAAGTCCCTAAATCCTACTCACTGGTCTGAAGTATTGCATTTTTGGGGGTCATTAACTGCAGTGTTTCATTGACAGGTTTAAACTCAAGGCCCTGGAGCTGAACAAGAAGATCTTGGAGAGCGCAGACGACCTAAAAAAGCCGGTAGTAAAGGAACCAACAGTACCCGAGTGCTTTGAGCTGGAGATTGAAAAAAGGCTCCAGGGGAGACAGGCCACCAAGAAGCCTCAGGAGGAGGAAGAGCAGCCCCACAACTTCAGAGCCAAGCCTCTGCCTAAAAAGGTCCTGGAGGGAGTCGTGGTGAGTTGAAACCCGCTGAGCTCAGCGTCACGTATGAGAAGTTTGATCCGAAACTGGCTTTGTTTTTATTGTAGTTTTGAGAGGATGTGAAACAGGCATTTCTGTATGAGAACGTAGTGAAAAGAGGATGTGCTCCTGTCAACAGGGATTGCCAGAAAAGAAGGTAGCATATCCGACTGTGCCAGAGTCTCCAGCGTTTGCCCTCAAGAAGAGGGTGCGTTTGGACCCCAAGGTTCCAGAAGTAAGGGCATATTCTGTATTAAATTAACACAGATGTATCATCAGTCCAACTGGAATGCAATGATGATTAATTGATTAATTCATTTGCTTAGGTCAAACAGATCTCACCCATCAAGCCCCCGCCGGTGCCTCACTTTGGCCTCCCCTTCCAGCCCCGGCTACCAGAGCACCATCATGTGGAGGTCTGTCCTTTCTCCTTTGAGCAGAGGGAACAAGAGAGAAGGGCCCTGAAAGAGAAGAAGCTGGAGGAGAAACGAAATGAAGAGGTGGAGTCTCACTTCCACAACCTGTGATCTCAGACCTCCGATTTAAAACATTAAATCACTTTTTTTCTGTTGCCTGAACATCTCCAGGTACCACAGTTCAAGGCCCAGCCACTGCCACACTTTGACACCGTGGTTCTTCCTGAGAAGAAGAAGCTGGAGCCCACGAAGCCCGAGCCCTTCAGACTGCTCATAGACGAACGAGGAGCTGTAAAGAACAGTCGCTGGGAACACATGGTATGCCCCGGTCTGCCAAGTTGTTTTTATTGTGAGTAATGGCAGGCTTGACGTCGCAGTTCACACATGGCCTCGGTGTCTCGCAGGTAAAAGAAGAGCAGAAACATCAAGAGGAAGCGACAATCTTCAAAGCCAGGCCCAACACAGTCACTCGAAAAGAGCCTTTCCGGCCCAAAAAGGAGGACCGGGGCGTAGTGGGTAAGACGAGATGAGCCTTTATTCATCCTACAGTGGGGAGATTAGCAGTGCTACACTAGCATAATGCAAACATGTAGGGAACATTAGTAGAAAATACAAATCAACCAAAAATATACTGAAGTGCTGATTTATGTGTTTGTGAGAATTCGATACAGTGCTTTAAAAAAATGTATGAGACAACCACTGAGTGTCAGGTTTATGCCACAGCTGCCCTAAATTAACAGCATTGGTAATTACCAAACTCATCTCTTATGTTTCTGTAATGGTTCATACACCAGTATGGAGAAAGTCATTAATTGAAATTATATATTTAATGCGACAATCTAATTATTGTTGTTATCTATGAATTTTCAGATTTACCGTTTTACTAAAAAAAAAAAGAAACTAATAAAACACACTAATAATTCTTAATTAAGATGTCAAATTATAGTTGTTTACTCGCATTCCTGAACAGAAAGAATAATTTTAGTGGTTGAATGTGATGTTGAATTAATTTCTGGCTCAGATTTGGGTATAAAAAGGTGAATTCAGGTTGAAGTTCCTCGTTCCTGTTCAAAACAGTAAAATGTGGAGAGCTGAGTGCGAAATAAATATCTTGATAATTGAATAATGGTCTTGAATTTTTGCCCAAAAAAATCTAAGAGTTGCTGGTTTGACCTGAATGTTTGTTTGATGAAAACATTTGAAGATGCTGCCGTGTGCTGTGAGAACTTACAATAGACATTTTTTTACTATTAGCTGGTATTTTATAAATGTATAAAGAGAGATTAATTGATAATGCAAACCATAGTTAGTTGCAGCTCTGGTATTCAGTACTGCCTGATACTATACATAGAGATACACAATGATATCGGCATCATAATCCGTACCGGCCACTAAAGGCGTTAAAATGTCAACATCAGCCCAAAATGAACACAGATGGTTATCGCTCAGGTTAGAAGTTTGCAGTTTTGTTTAAAAATGTTACATAAAACTATATATGACTTTTTTTAACCTGCAAGCTAAAGTATAAATGTATAATAAGTCCACTGCAGGAGAGACCAGATGTTACACTAAAAATATGTTCCTATATTTGCAAAATGTGTTCGATAATACAAACATAACATCTCAGCAAAAAGCCAGTATCGTACGTCCCCACTGTTCAGATGTCCTAAAGAGTGCTTCAGCTGTTTATTTGCTCTGAGGCTGAAGCACTCCTCAGTGTAACTCACTGTGTTCCTGTTCTTGTCTTCGCCATCACCTCTTTGCGGGACGCTCTCGAAGGCATTAATTCTTCCACAGTTGTAGAGGCCTTTGAGCTGGCGACGGAGCGACGGGCCCGCGAGTGGCAGGAGTACGAGCAGCTGGCCAGCGAGAAGGAGGCTGTCCGGGCGCGCATGGAGGCCGAGCAGCGGCGAGAGGAGGAGCAGAAGGAGAAGGAGGAGATCAACAGGATGCGCAAAGAACAGGTCACTGAAAAACAAGCTGTGACTTATGTGGTGTTAATATGCAGTCTGGTTCTGCAGTGTTGAATGGCTGCTGATCCCATCTAGGATGAACAGCTCCGTCTTTTAGGATTTAGGGTTCCTACCTAAGTGGCAGGTGCTCTGATGAGTGCTAAGATTATAAATACATTTCTGATTCGTTTCCAGACAATTTTCTAAGTCCCCTGCTCTGTTGCTATCTACACTTGCTAGAGAACCATTCACGCATACTGACTCGAAAGCTGTGAGAGCGATATTACCATGATAGATTGTGAATCTGTGAGCTGCTGAGCTACAGCGACACTGGAGGGGAACCGTGTGTTCACATACACAACATACTGAACGTCTCTGAAGATCTGGCAGTGTGTTTTGTGGAGCACAAAATTTAGACGCTCAGTTCTGACTGCGTTTCTTGACTACACAACAGCAACAGAGCAGCTGTGTTCCTGTTTTAATGCCACAGTGATGGTAGACTCGGTTCTGGTCCTGTGTCAGACCCAGCATTGTTTGATGTAACTGGTTTGCAAAAGGCTGCAACATGGCTGCAAAGTTTGTCGCTCAGCTCAGCTTTGTGCAGATATCCTGACACGATGCCAGCAGACGGGCAGATAACTCTGGTTTTGGTCCTGCAGACGTTGAACACTCTGCTCTGACAGATGCAGGACTACACTGCAGTTTCAACAATGTGTGCATTTACAACAATAAAAAATGACCGAACACTGTTCTTCAGAGAGAAACACAACCGTCCAGCTGGAGCAGAGAATGTAGGAGATGTGCTCAGAGCTACAGCTTCAACACAGACTACTTGAAATGTGTGAACCTAAAGGCGTTTTAGCACTTTGTTTCGATAGAGGACATGTCGTCACAGTTCAGGCGTGACAACTGTGGCTCAGGTGGTAGAGTGGTTGTCCTCCAATTGCAAGGTTGGTGGTTCAGTCCCAAGTGTCCTTGGGCAAGACACTGAACCCAACTGTCATCATTGGTGTATGAATGCGTGTGTGAATGAGTAAAGCGGTTTGGATAGAAGTGCTATATCAGTGCAGACCATTTGCATTACGCTGACCAAAGTAAACACAAACTAGACAGAGCAACACGCATCCAACCAGACGTCTCCCATCATTTTGTTGTCTCATCAATGCGGTAAACTTAAATTCTGATTGTGGGGTAATCAGCACCGTCTGACAGATGTTTGTCTCCTCTGCAGGTTCACAAGGCTCAGCCGATCCGACACTACAAACCCGTAGCAGTGAAGAAGAGCGAAATCCCTCTCACAGTCCCAGAGTCTCCAAACTTCTCCGACCGCTTCCGCTTGTAATCAGCTGTTGTTACTGTTCTAAGAGAATCTGTGCGTTTTACTTCTGCAAATGTCTTTTAGCATATTATTAATGTTTTTATTCTAACCGAAATAAAGATTTTGTTAAATCGACAATGAGTCTGGACGTTTAATTTAGACATGTCTATGTACTGTTATAGCAGTAAACAGCTATTTGCTAAGTAAAGATCAACCTGTGGGATTGAGACATAACGTCTATATGGATGTACTTTGATTCAGGTGATGGTGAGCAGCTCTGACTTTAAGTTTTATCAAAGAGGAAATCTTCAAAGTAGAGAAGACGTCTGCCTCCTGAACCCAAACTTGTGTGCTGTTATTGTCTCCTTCCCGAGCAGTTAATGGGAAGCTGTGAGAAGTTTTTTTTTGCAAGAATTCAAAATTATATTGTCGCGTAAAAGTTAGAATTGAGTGGAAAAACAAAGCAAATAATACTCAACACTCAAGTAATTATATTTCATGTTATAAATGTTATTTTAAAAATCTTTATTTCACTCAGTTTTCTTTATTTTTTTAATCACGCCATGTATTATTCGTGTCAATAAAGCATAGTTTGTAGCTGTAAAAATTGTAATTATGAATTCAGATCATGCTTTAAATGCAAAGGAAATCAGTGCTGGAGAAGTTTTAAATTCCAAATAAAAATTTAGATATTCAAATATTTTTACATATTCAAATCTGGAGGGACTGATTTGCTTCCTTGGAGGTGCGATAGTAGGGCACAGCGTGAGGAAAATCATGTGTTTTCTGAACCTTCAAAGCATGCAAACGTATTCTAGTTTTGTTTTAGCTTTGTAATTCTGACTAAATAGTTGTGATATAAGTAGTAGTGAGATGAGGCTTTTATTTTGACAAACTTGGCCCGGAAGTGCGTACTACGTCCAAGTCCTGAAGTGAACTGGAGGAACAAGGTAGCTAAGGAAGTGTTCATCATCAAAGGGCGTTTTTAAGTGCGACTGGACGATAAGGGCGGTTGTTTGACACTATCCAGGTGTGTATCGGTGTCATTATTGGGTTCTTTCAGTTCTCCGTTCAGTCAGTCGACTTGTTTTTAAATGCTTCTTCGTTCAATGTGTGCTAATTAGCTAGCCAGCTAGCTCGCTAGCTACGGAGTCGCTCCTATAGATCAGGTCTATTAACTGTTTTATACAGTTTAAAACGTCCAAATAGTGTCTGTTTAACAAGACAAAGGTGATAATTGTTAATAATTCACATGCAGTGTTTTCTGAATAAGGGAAAACCAGTGAGTTAGACTTTAAATGTTTTTTCTGGTGTAACTTAATCTGTCAGGTAAAGCAGGAAGTCTCCCCCAGTGTGGGTTTCACAATGTAGACTTTTCTTACATAATCCGTTTTATTGATCAGTGTTGATTAATCTCCCTAATAAGCTGGAGGCAGATGAGGTCAGTAGCAGGGGACAGGAACAAACAAACTGTTTACCTGGCAGCTCACACAGCTCCAGCTTATATAACGGTTTCATGTGTTCTGTTATGGAAATGTCATTTACTTTCCTATAAACTACTCTGTACGTGTCTAGATTAGACTACATGGTCAGTAGGTGTGCTGCGGTTTTAATTCTTAAGCCATAATATTTAGTGATTTGTCTTAAATTGATTGGTGGGCGTTCAGTGTGATTTAACAGCTAACAGCTGACAGGTAAACAGATCATTTGTTTTTCTTTACTAACCAATCAGGTTGGCTGGTTAGACTACCGCTGCACAGGTGTGTCCCTCACCTGTTAGTAGTCAGACCAGTTTATATTAACAACCTGAAACCGTCTAATTGGTGTAACGCTGAAGTTGTGTGTGATTCAGTGTGTTCAGTATAGAAAGTTTAGAAAAACTGAAATAACATCTTAATCGGCGATACAATATTTTACTTAGTGCAGATCCTGATCAAGGGAAGGATCCGGGAATGTTATTCAGTTTCTATTACAGTATGAAAGAGGGCTTTTTTTTTTGTCTGTCAACAAGGTAACACAGAAACTACCAGGCCACATTTCCCATTCGTTAACCACAATGAGTAACATGGAAAATACAGCCTCAATCACCTTGCCTTGTTAGGTTTACCTTAACTTTCCATTTATCAGATAGAGAGCCAACTTCTGCATCATCCCGGTGATGTCATTTTATTCTACTGCAGTACGTTATACACTCTGAGACGTGTTTTTCTGATGATGTCCTCGGCTCATGGAGGTTGAAGACATCATGTTAGAAATAACTGATTCCTATGTGTAGCGTCTGAACTCCTGAGTGTCCCCGATTTTATTTTTAAAAACACTTCACAGGCGTTGCAGGTATGCTCTTTGATTTCCAACCACATTTCTCTAAGTGTGTGACACCAGTGGTCTTATATTTGAATGTAAATGTGACAAAAGTGTTTACAGAGAAGAAATCTAAACACCACTAACGGCATGACGACCACACAAGAAGGACGACATGAATTTCTCAAACCATTGAAACACTGTTCAAACCCAACGGTTACAAGCACTGCTAAATGTTCAAGGTAGTATTAATCAGTATTAATCAATGGGCAGCATAAACAACGCTGAAGATTTCAATCAGCAACTGATATCTTAAATTGCATCCTTTGGAATTGGTTCAAATTGGGATCATTGAATTGCTCAGCCCTCCTATCCGCTGTCATGTCTTACATCTTGTGGCCGTTGTCAGGCTGTGTGTAGACTGAACCTGCCATTAAACTACCTCCCACATGGTTTGCACCCCAACTAATAAACTTTGTATGCGTACACAGGGGACCACACTGAGTATGGATGCACTCAACACACTGGAAATCTACATCCCTGTGGAGGCTGAGGTGAAAAGCATCCCACTGCGAAGCTTACCCAAGGCAGTGGTCAGAACAATAGGCCTTTTCCTCCCTGACCACGACGTCTCCTGGAAGCCTGCAGACTCTCCAGAAGGCATTTGGATTTGTCCGGCGGTCATACGGAGGAAAGGCCAGAAGCTGACTTCACATGCAGGAAGAGGCGGGGTGGACAACATGGAGAACATGTCCTCAGTGCTGGACACAGAGTTTCGGGCTAAACCGGGTCCGCTCCGAATGTCTATCGTCTCTAAAAACCGCACGGCGTACGAGGTGCTGAAGGAGCCCGGGCCTGGGACACGGAGGCCCCTCACGTCGGCTCACGGCTCGTCACTGAGGACCGACCAAGACGCTGTCCTCATCTACCGTGGGTGTGTCTACCTGTCCATCAGGAGACCCGGCCGAAGCCAGGCTCAACCTCAGCCAGCGTCTGCTGTTCCTTCGACTTCAGATTCATCGTGTAAACGCCGAAAGAAGGTAACTTTTCAATTTCGAGCTTTAGCCTAAGCGTCCCCGGCCATGCTAGCAGCTCTGTGGGGCCTCACCTGGACGGAGTGGTTCGCCATCTTATCACAAGATATTCTAAACCAAAACATCCCAAATATAAATACAGGTATATGAGCTGGTAATGTCACCCAAACAAAATGATTAGAATTCGCTCTGAGGTGGTGTATCAGCATTTGAATGTAGTCAAACAGTGTCTGTCTCTTCTCTGACGCTTGTTACCCAACAAGGTTTTATGAGGGCTGAAGCTTTTTTTACTCTTGTTTTGACTCTAAGCAGAGCCGATCCCGTACACCTCTGAGACTTCTGGTGCATTGCCTCATGTTTCTGGTCAAGGGAACAAACTTATCGTGTAGCAGATGTACTGGGACCAGAAAGTGAACATGACACTTGTGATGGCATTAGTTGATAGTAATAAACCTTTTGCTTGTCAACTCACTGAACCTGACCACCATGAAGAATCTATGGGGTGTTGTCAAGAGGAAGATGAGAAACAGCAAATCCAAACATCCAGATTAGTTGAAGGCTACTAGCTACTAGTCACGCAAACATGCCTGACTGTGGACTCTGACTGTGTTCCAGCAGCTTCTAGTTCATTGCAGACCTCCGTTGTGGGAGTTCTTGGTGACCAGTTGTCTCTCAGCAGCAGGTGATAGTTTGTGTTTTCTTTCATATTGTGGCAGACGACTGATTTTTGAATCTGTAGCTGCTTTGGAACGGTTGCTTTTCCAGATCTGTGCTGAGCTCCTCAGACTTTCCCACTCGTAGTGTTTGTGGCGGCGTCTAATGAGTGTATGAGGCCGTAATTAAATCAGCTCAAAGGAGTCAACAGCTGTAGTCAGTTGCAATTACTCACGAGAAGTTGTGAAGCCACGCCGCGAAGAAAATTAGATAAACACAACTTTCGACATCGTACAAACTAATAATTTAAGTGCATTTGGAAACTTAAACCTGCTGCGATACGGTAACATTTTGTTCACAACTTTTTATACGTTGTTTTGAATTCATCAAATTTTCTTTTACATCAGCAGCAAATTAAACGGAGAAATGTTCAGACAGCAGGGAGGTGACTGGCTTCTGCTGGAAAATCCTTAAAAGTATTCTTGCAAAACGAGGACTTTTAGGAATAAAACATTTCTTTCTGAAATGTACCTTTGTGCAAATAAATGCCTCGATTTGGGAATGTACGCTACGAGGTGCGTCAGAAAAGTTCCAGGACTGGTGTCACAAAAGATATATATCAAACCCAAACTACACACTACAAGTTTTCCCCTTCAGACGATCAACCAGCACGTCTACAAAGAGATCCTGCAGCGTTTGCTTCGTTCAGAAGAGGCAGAGTTGTGGCAGGACAAGTCGTGGCTGCTTCACCATGACAACGCCCTGAGCATCCCACAGTTCCTGGCTGAGAAGAACATCCCTGTGCTGGAGCAACCAGCTCACCCCACCTGGCTCTGTGGGATTGTTTCCTCTTCCCCAAACTCAAGGGGGTCATCAAGGGTTGAAGACGTGGATGGCATCAAGATGGCTGTGACGACGGAGCTGAGGAGTGCATGGCGGCGTGGCACAGAAGGCTGGGAAGTGTGCTAGACTCCAGGGAGATTACTTGGAAGGGGAAAACTTGTATTTTGGATTTGAAATACATCTTTTATGACACCAGTCCTGGAACTTTTCTGACACAAATTCACTGACCAGGAGGAAACATGTAAGAACAGAAAACAACGGGGCTCTTAAACAAGCCTTGACGTAAAGTTTTATAAATAAATCTGTTCGATTCCACAGACAGATAAAAAGAGAGAAATGTAGGTTTTTGGTTTATCCTGTGTCATTACTGTGAATCCCAACAGATGAAGGTGCTTTAATGTGATGCCGTTTTGTGTCTTTCAGGAGCTGCTAAATGACAAAAGGCCCAAAAAGAGGCTCGCCACATGCAAAGTGCTGCACCAAGAAAGCCGGACGGACGCCGCGCACAAGAAGAGAGACGTATCCACATCCAAGCCTGTGTGTCCAGTCGCTCTGCCCGCCGCCGACGTGCACAACATGGACGTCCAGAACCACGAGGACGCCAGAGCAGAGACAGGCTTCCACCCTCAGGGCGAGCAGGACGAGGCGGTCAACAGCGTCGGCAGTGACGTGCAGGAACCGGCCGGCGAAGAAGCCGAGAGCCCAAACGAGCCGCCACAGATGGACTGTGTGTTCAACGAGCTGGCGCAGGCGGAGGAGATCGCTCGGCTGAGGGCCCAATACAAACAGAACGTAGCCGCTCTGGGGAACCTGCCTCTGTCGTAGCGGCGCCTCGTTCAGGCCGACGATGCCATGAGACTGACCTCTATGGCGTTGCTTTCGTGTCTCGTTCCCGAGCAATTAATTTTGAGCACAAAAACGTGGTTATTTTGCAAGAAGTCAAAGTTATGTTTTGCGTAAAAGTTATAATCAAGCGACAAACAAAGCAGTTAGAAGGAACAATAACGTGCTCAAGTGATTATGTTTCATGTTTTAAACGTTCTTTATGTTATTTCACTCATTAAATTGTATAGTTTTCTTTTTTTATTTATTTTTGTCACACGATATAATATTCATGTCCACAAAACGTGTTATTTCTAGCTATAAAAACTGTAATTATGAATTCAAATCATGCTTTATATGCAAATGAAATCAGTGCTGGAGAAGTTAAAATTTGTTGCATCATTTAAATGCAACAAAAATGGAAAGACTTCAACATTTCAAAGTCTGATGAGACTGATTTCCTTCCTTTGAGGTGTTGCTGTAGAATGCAGTGTGAGGAACAGGAGGTGTTTTCTGAACCTTAAAGCATAATCAATAACATGCTCCACTGATTGTTTCTTTATGCTGAACACACATAAGCGTACTGAGGAAACAGTGTCGTGTTCAGCATTATTGATTACTGTTTGCTTTGTTTTTTGCCTGATCGTAGCTTTTACACAAACTATACAATTTTGAAGTTCTTGCAGAAAACATGTATTTGTGCTCAAAGCTTCTCATTAATTTCTCAGAAAGTGAGATGCAAACAAAAGCGTCCTATCTCTCAGGTTTGTTTTAAACTTTTCACATTTCTTAGAGACTATAGAACGCAGTGTACTGATGATCTGCTCCGTCTGTGGGTTCATAGATATGACAGTTAGCCTTTGAACACATTAGCACTCTGGTGATTTCTGGGCTTTGGTGTTTTGTGCGCATACATAAACATTGTAGGTGTCCTAGAATATCCAGGCTCATATGGAATGATGGTTACACACTTTAATGACAGCCTGAAACTGAACTGTGCTCAAACTCTTAAACTGCTGGGATAACTGAGGGGTTTCTACCTTAACCTCAGTTAGCCGTCGTACTTTAAGCGCTCGATTGACTGTGAGACACTCTCTGGTTCCCGACATGTGCCGTGCTCAGCAAATTTTTTGCATCATTTCAAAACATAATGTGACAACAGGTCGGGCTTCAGCGAACGGTTATTTCCAGCGTTGACTTTATCATGTTAATGCCTTAGTTGGTCTATAAAATGTAAAATAAATGCATAAAGTTAAGTTTGCAATTTTGAATGTCCTATTTTGTTCAACCAAAAGTCCCAAAACTCAAATTCATCCACATTTTGCAAAGACGTGTAACAAAAAATAGGAAATATTTGATGCATTGACTCGCAAGATGGATCGGTGGTTAGCGCCGTTGCCTCACTGCTAGAAGGTCGCTGGTTTCCCTCCTGGTGAGGACACCTGGGATCTTTCTGCGTGGAGTCTCCATGTTCTCCCCGTGCAGCGTGGGTTCTCTCCAGGTTCTCCGGCTTCCTCCCACAGTCCAAAAACATGTTGAGGTTAATTGGTGATTGTAAATTGTCCGTAGGTGTGAATGTGAGTGTGCTTGGTTGTCTGTCTCTAAGTGTAGCCCTGTGATAGACTGGTGACCTGTCCAGGTGAACCTGCCTTCACCCTGAGTCAGCTGGGATAGACTCCAGCCCCCCATGACCCTAGTGAGGATGAAGCGGTGTATAGATAATGGATGGATGGATGTTTTGTTTAACCAAAAGTCCCAAAACTCAAATACGGCCACATTTTGCAACGACGTACAACAAAAAGTAGGAAATGTTTGATGCATTGACTCAAACTGACTGATTGTTGAACATTCTTTTTATTGAGCATTTTCAAAACAGTCCAGCACAGTACATATAGAGATTATATGAAATTTGTAGCAAATTCAAAATACATCCACAGCAATGATCTCAGAAGTCCTTATCAGGTCTAACATTTCAGGCTGTTGCACTCTGAGTAACACTTTGCCAGACTTTGCTGTGAAGAGGTCCTTTTGACCGTTAGTACCAAATCTTTGTCTTATATTCTGATATCAAAGACTTGCACAGATGTGTTGAAGGAGGTTCGTCTCCTCTCCGTTTGGTCAGAACAGCCTTTCAGCCCAACATGAGCAACGACTGTCCCGTCTTCTCATGTGATCCCAGTAGACATGATGGTGGATTAGGCTGTAACTGCTGCTGGATTTGAACTGACTGATTGTATATTTTCATAACAGTTGCTATTTGTCATCAGCTAATTGATCGATCAGCAGCTTGGCAGCGTTCCACTTTGTTTAATTTAGCCGTTTTGATAGACTCAGTGCCATGAGAGCTTCAAAACTAGGGTCCTCTTGTCATCAGGCCAAACTTTACAGACTACAAAGATTTAAACCATGAGAAGAAGGAGATGCTCCAGCTTCCTCCCACAGTCCAAACACATGTTAGTTGATGATTGTAAAGTGGCACGTGTCGGCCCGCTGCACCTCCCTGCAGAATAAAGCAGCGTACACATAATAAAATGGATGAACTTTATTTTTACGAGTAGAAAATATGTTTCCACCTCCAGGGGCCACTGATGTGACATCTGTCTGGAAAAGGTTCCAGCAAATCTGACTAATATATTCAATATGAGGCACGTCAAATGAGCTGGATGTTACCAAAGGAGGTGGTTTAGGACATAAACAGGACGATGCTGACGGGATGGACACGCTGGACGGCTGTCACATGACTCCTGACACATTTTGGATGTTATTACCATCATTTGAGAGAAGATTTGCATTAATTTAATCATTTTTGAGGCTTTCTGGACACAAATCTTGCACTAAATGGACTCAAAGTGGAGACCCTTCGAGGGTTTAAAGTTGGCTCCTTTCTGGTGTTGTGCAAAAGAAGTGACTAATTGAAGTCGTGATGCTGGATGTAGCTGCTGCACACACCTCTGGTCTGCCTTTGACTTTTTCAGATGGCGATTGAGCCACACTGTTACCAGGGGGAAAAATAAACCCAGTTGAAATAGAAAATTCAAGGGGACAGTCTGAAAACGATTGCTGCTTCTCGCCGGTGTTCAGCTGCTTTTGTTTTGTCTATTTGTGGTGTGTTGTTTCATGGCCACTGTACGCCATTCACACAGAGGCTGCAGGGCTCAAGGGACTGTAGCTGGGTTGTCTTGAACCCACCGGGCCACCGTAGTCTGCAGCTCACAGGTGTCGATTGTGCGTTAATATGGTTGGATGCAGATTATTTAGTGTGTTGTCTTGTTTATTGACAGGGCAGAATAATAAAACACCTCACAGCCTCTGATACTGAACCTCTTACTGCAGGACTTCTGGGTTTATCTTCAGCTAGGTGGAGCTGACAGACTGCTGCACTCCTTAGAAGTATCATGGTGTTTGTATACTGTTAGAACAATAACAGAGCAGAACAAGTTCATCCAGACTGATAGTGCATTAAATCATCTGATAGCGGCGAGCGGAGGGAGGAGACCTCTCTGCTGCCGTCCTGCCCTTCCCTCCTGCCCCGCTATAAGACTGCAGGCCTCCTGAAGCTGCCCCACACCGACAGGATGCGCTCCTCACGCTGCCCCCCAGCCGGACCTCCAGCAGCCAAGGTAAGACCCGGCGAGGTTTCTCTGAGCTGGAGCTGACGAGACGTTGCTGTTTCTCCTTGTAGAGTCGAAACAGAACCGTGAAGATGTTTTTATGGATCCAACTGTAGATTCTTTAATAACTTTTAAACTAAACTCTTGGTCGTGTTGGTTCTGATTGTAGGGATCATGATGTAGAGAATGAGATGGTGGAAAAAGACAAACATACAATTAAATATGTGGAGAACAAACCGTGGTGCTCAGAAATGACTAGAAACTATGATTTACATGGATTTTAATGGAGACGTTCATTCTACAGAAACTACATTCAACAAAAATTGTCTCATTAAAGAAAAAAAGCTAAAAATAAAAAATAAAATAAACAGTTTGTTCAAACCAGATTGTGTAGAAAAGAAAAAAATCTGCAAAAGCTGGTGCATCCGTAAAGCCATCAGTCACTCATCTGTGACCAACATTCACGAGACAAAAATGAGGTTTAACTGCAGGCTGTGCATACAGGAGACACGTGTAGAACTGTTCTCAAATAGTTTTCTATCATTTTAATATTCAATACTTTAGCTTTTCAATAATAGGCACCAAATATGAATGCTTTCTAGGAAACTTCCTGTGAAGGAATTATGGATTCATTAAGTCTTTTGGCTGTTTGTCTGACAAAATACGGGATTTAAATACTTTACTGACTTTAATTTTGAAATCCGTCACTATCATTGACTTTTTTCTCAAACCTGGAGGCGTCTCAGTCCAAACCCACCTGATGTGCTGTTAGAGGAGCAGTACATAGAAACAGAAAATCCTTTATTATTTCCACAAGGGGAACTTTGCAGCATCACAGCAGCAAAGTGACAGTAAGAAAAACAAGAAAACACAATATATACAATATAAATAAGAAAAACAAGAACACAAGGAAACTAAAAACACAAAATTAAGAATATTTGCATGAATGAATTGCACTCGGATTTAACATTTGTCATTGTGATTGTTCATCCTTGGAATACAAGGAGGACAGATTACTGACAACCAGAGCAGATCAGGGCTGCATGTGATGATGTAAAACTGCATTTTCCAGGTTTTATTGACAGAGTTGTGCATCAGTTAACTGGTAGAAATAACTGCAAAAAGGCCCTTAAAGTATTTAACAAACAGAGACAACATCTCGCTGTAGTTTTGGTGCAAGGACTTTGCAACGCTGGTCATATTTCTCCTCTGAGAGCTTCCTCCTGTTGTGCTTTTTGAAATAGAATCACCCAGAGTGTGATCTAGAAAACACAGAGGGATCTTTTTTTTTTTATTTTACTGCCAAAGATGCCGAGCTGAGTGTCAGATTAATGAGCAGCAGGTAAATCTTTGCATGTCATTCGTGCACCAGGCGACACCGTGCAGGATGCTCATGAATGTGATGTTTGTGCGTCTCCTCAGGTGTTGTGCGTTCGGCTCTGCTTGTGCTTGGCAGGCTGGCCGCTGTGCTCGGAGGCAGCCCGGCGTCGCTGCGGCTCCGAGCTCCTCAGCGACCTCATCTTTGTGTGTGGAGATCGTGGGATCTATTTAGGTGAGTCTGACTGCATGTCAAGCTCAGAGTTCAGAGACTGGATTGTCATTTTCACACACAAGAGAACAAAGTTTTGTTTCTAGATCAGTGACTGCAGCGCAATAAAATACTATGCATCATAATAAAATATAAACATCATAATAAACTAACAAAGAGTCAGGAAATCAGATAAAATACAGTCCAATCTCTCAAAATGTGTTGTGTCATCCACCTGTTTGCGTTCAGATTCTGGAAACTGGGATGCAAGAACTTTCAGACAATTCAGACGTAAACGGGTCAGCAGTCCTAGAGGGTCACAGGATGAAGTCTGGGGTTGAATTAAAGCAAAAACTTGTCAGATTATCGTCCATCTAAATGCTTCAAAATGATTTTATTTCATCTGCATACATGTTTACTTTCAGGGTTTCTTTAGTTTTCATCCAATCACATTATATTCACCTCTAAAGTAGCACATAGAAAACAACTTCATACCTGTTTCATGATAACACCATGACGACGTGACTTTATATCACCGCTATTATCAGTACGTCTCAGCTGCATCTAACAAAAGTTAGCTGTAATTAAAGAAATCAGTTATCATGAGCTGGAACCAAAGGATGTGGTGGGTTTTTTTCTTGTCTCCATCGTAGCAGATTTTTGGATTTGACAGTTGGTTGGACAAAAAACAAAAGTGGAATTCCAATTAACTGATAATTAAACAGTCATTAGCAGCTAGTGGATATATATAAGAGGTAGAATATTGTAGATTTTTCTCCAAACTTTGGTGCAAGAAACAAATCTGCTAAAAGAAAAATCTGAGCCTGAAGTTGAAATAATGGCGGTGAAGTTTCTCTACTTACTGATCTAAAGCAACAAATCCACATTTTCTGATCAAAAATTTAAGAACGGCTTTTATGGGTCTTCTCTGTATGTAGAAATGTAAGTTTCCCTTCAAAATGTGCATCTAGATTGATTCATTAATTCAGCATTAAAAGAGTTGGAAAATAGTCAAACTAGCAGAGTTCGGTCAGAGGAACTTCTTATGGTGAGTTCCATAAGCTATGAAGTTGAATCAACTGTTTAATCACATGAACCATCTTCTTTCCTTTTACATCTTGTCAGGTCGAAAAGTTTGAGAACCAGCAGCTGCAGAAAACTTTAATTATTTTCAAAGTGCAATAAAGAAAAGTCTCAGCCGATGCACTGGTTCTGTTTCTTTTAAACATAATTTATTGAGTTGATTGAATTTCCAGCTGCTCCTTCATTCAGCTTGATTTTTCGTCGACATGGTAACTCACCTTTAAAGTGGTCTGAAGAAAACGGACATGTTAAGTTCGATCAACTCGACGTTAACAAAAGTTGCATGATGTTCAAATTTCTGGCTGATACCGATATCTGATATTAAGATTTCTGATATCGCCGATAACCGATATCACCGATGTCGATATTCAATTTGAGTGTTAGTAAGCACTGTGAGACCATGAAAACTATTCAAAAGAAGCCAAATCAGACCACATAGTCTTCTATATAACAAAAGCAAAACATATTTAAACATATTTAAGTAAAAACATCTGTGAAATAGCAGCAACATCACACGTAGAGACGAAGGCGCTGATGTTAGACAATCATCGGCTAAATTTGTTCATCAGACCGATACGATATATCAGAAAAACCGTTGATATCGTCCGATACCGATGTGGTCGCCGATATATTGTGCATCCCTAATTTAAATTAAGCAAACCAGAAAGCAGGAGTTGTGTAGCGTTTACTGACTGTCAGACATCAGAACAGAAGACCTGAATCATATTTGTCGACCTTATAAGGATGTAAATGTAGAAAAACGTCATTGAAGCATCGTCTGTAAATACAACACATTGGTACGTTCTGCAGATTTATTCCTGTCGGTTTTTTTATTAAATATCTCAAACACTTATCTCCAGATGAAGGTTACTTTGTGCTGCGTGTTCAAACAGAAACAGGAAAACGCTGCAGCACCTCTGAGCAGCTCCACAACAACAAAAACACACCGTTTATTTATTTACACCGACACCACCGGCACCACGGCTGACCTCTACCTCAGCATCGATGTTGTTTTTTTGGTGAGAAAACCCGGTTCCCGCTATTTCACGCGATACCGGTTCGATAAGCTGCAGCAGTGCCGAGCAGCTTGTTATTATGATTCGGATCTAATCTCTCTCCGCCCGCCACCAAACGCACAATTTACCCACAGGCCCTTTCACCTGATTACCTTTATCCTGTTCTGACCAAGGGCACCTCCTGTATCTGCTATCAGCCCGGTGGCAGTCCACCAAAATGGCAGCGCACTCAACAGAACACTGTGCCTCAGAGCGCGATAGCCTTATTGTTAAAACACTGGTTATCTGGGAGCAGCGCGGCTTTCGCACTAATAACAAATGAAAGGTGCAGAGAGGGGAAGAGCGGCGCAGATGATCCTCAGTCAGAAGGACAAAGTGTTTGGAGAGCGTCCTCTACATATGAATAGATGATTATGAGCTGCTGCATGATTGTGCTGACTTATGAATATGGAATGTGTTATTGATGTTTAACTTCAGCATGTTAACTGGTAGTGTGGTTTCATTTTGCATGTTATATTTGCAAATGGAACTGAGCGTCGTACGGCTGAGGCTTATGAGGCCAATATTTTCCATGCACTCATGAAGATTAAAGCAGACTCTCATGTGTGGCCTGTTCCTCCCTGCAGGTAAAGGCTCGTGGTCCGGCTACGGCGCCCGGCCCAGGGGGAAGGGGATCGTGGATCAGTGCTGCCGATCGGGCGGCTGTGAACTGGAGCACCTGGAGATGTACTGCGCCAAACCAAAGATCGAAACCACAGCTTCTCCATCCACAACAACGGCAGCACCGCAGAGCACCACGCAGCAAGACATGGTACGACCGACCGAGTCTGCTCCTCACCGTAGAGCACGGGTGTCCAATCCTGGTCCTGGAGGGCCGCAATCCAGCATGTTTTAGATGTTTCCCTTCTTCTAACACACCTGATTCAAATGATCAGGATCGTTATCAGGCTTCTGCAGAGCTTGATGAAGAGGTGATCATTTGAATCAGGTGTGTTGGAAGCGGGAAGCATCTAGAACATGCAGGATTGCGGCCCTCCAGGACCAGGATTGGACACCCCTGCCGTAGAGGTTGTCCAAATAATCAAACAATCAGATCTCACGCAAGAGACACCCACAGCAATACGACTGGACTCCACCCAGACCGGCTCAGTATGTTCTGCATCTCAGAGCTGAGTCTCCATGTTCATGTGGAGCCAACCAGACCTCGACAAGGAGGCCACATCCGATGACAAAACCATCTTGAATCGTTTTTGCTCTAGACATCAGGTGAACCTCTGGGTTTCTAGAGAATAATTACACTTCCACATACAGTGGGAGGATTTTTTTTGCCCTCAGGATGTTATTTTGCTCCTAATTTTTAAGCTCTTCTTCTAGAGCAAATGACCAGGACATGAAATAGCAGCTCTAATACGTCTACTACAGTCCTGACTGAAAGATGCAGTAACATATGTACAGTCAGCTTTAATTCACAACATCCAGCTTTAAAAAACTAGCAGCTGTTGCTCCACATGTTGTGCAATCAGTTTTTCTTCTGTTCAGACACACAGAAGGTTTTTGTCTGTTGCGTCAGTATCTTGTCTCCATCTCATGATTAATGCTTTTTTCATCAGAGCAGCTCTTGTTTTCATCTCATGTCACCTGCTGCCTTCGAGTTTTACAGGTTTAACAGAAAATGTCATAATAGTGAATTCAGAACCTGAACCATCCGTTATCTTTACGCCCCTCCATCCTCTGTAGGGCTGCTGGAGGGTTTAGAGTGACGGCAGGGTTCATCCTGACAACACACTCACATTCACACCGACGGACAATTTAGAACCAGATTCATTACTGCTCAGTAGAACTGTGTCATTTTTAGGTTAATTTTGTTTTATTTTTACTGAAAACACAACGTTCAAAATAACTAATGCGCTTGAAATGATCCATTTTCTGAGAAAATGCAGCAGTAAGACATTATGTTAGAGATTTTAGTTCTGAATTTAACTCATTTTAGTTTGTTTTTGCACATTTTTACTCATTTAGAAGGATTTTTTTTTTGTTCAATAAGTTTCTTCTTGTTAAAAATGACATAAACAAGCAACAAAAGACGATAAAACACAGCCTTAGAGACGCTAATGAGAATTGATTTAATAGTTTTTTTGTACATTTTTACGAAAAATGCGACAAATTATTCAAACCCTTGATTTCTTTGCATCGTTTCAAACACTCCTGGTTGGTTCTACAATGTTCTAGAGCGTTTTAATGCACCTTCAAACTGAGAACAGTTCCTGCAGAAGTTCTGTAGTCATTTACTGCACAGTTTTAACTATTGTTGAACCAGCTGTGAGGCGACAGCGTTAACCGCTGACCCACCGTGCCGCCCAACACCTGGACCAAAAAGATATCCAAATACATCAAAATGTCGACGTCTGTGTTAGATCCCGGCTGATCAGCGCAGGTCCTGAACCTGTCCTTGAATTAACTCCTCGCTCTTATCTGTGTGTTGCAGTTCCAGGCGGTGTTTCAGAAGAGACTGTCGGAGCACCTGGGGCTTCCCAATAGTCCAAAAAGAGACGCTTACAGAAAGAAAACGCAGCCTTCACTTCAGCGGAAAAACAAAGCGCTATCACGCAGGAGGGTAAACTCACAGAGCACGACTGTTCGGCCCACACCTGCCTCTGGGAGTCCCCGGTCCACATCTGAACCAGGACCTTGAACCTCATAAATAACTGAACATTGTGGATTGTACCCAGTGAACCCGAAAGACTTGATGCTGATCAGGGGAAGCTCCCTCGCTGAGCAGGCTCGCAGCGGTTGAAGATTTTATTTTATTTTTTTTAAACAACACATTTTTACAGTGTTTCTGTTTTTTTTATTTTTAATAATAAATGTATTTGCTCTGATAACAAAGCAATAAATTATGACTTTATGCTTTAAAGCTGCTCCACCAGACTGTGAATGTTGGACAGAGGCAGAAATGATCATTATTTTTCACCCTGTATTTCAGACGAGTGTTTACAGACTGAATAAACTTAACATTCCATCAGACTTCCCTCTGATTACCTTGTTTCTTGGCCAGAGTTGAAAAACTACCTCAAGTTCCTGCTTCTGACGTAGATAAAGTCCATTTATGTGCCTCCAACTGTTCTTTCATATTTTATTTTTAAGCTTTCTGAATAATTTCATAGGTGATGGTGCTGCCATTTGCCGATGCGATGGAAGCACCATGGCTCAACCTCGCCAAAGCAATTCACCGGCAAAGTCATGGCCGCTCTGTTTTGGGATTCTAAAGGTGTATTGTTGACTGATTATAAACCTGCTGGAAGCTCCATCACTGGGGTTTACTGTGCAGATCTAATGAAGCAGCTTAGGGTTGTAATTAAAGAATAAAGGGGGGGAAGTTGAGCAAAGGTGTTTTACTTCTTCATGACAATCCTCTTGTGCACAAGTCACAAACTGCACAAGCTGCTGTTTGTGAATGTAAGTTTGAACATCTTAACCTCCAGGTCTGGCCCCCGGCCATAATTACCTGTCTACAAATGTGAAACCACCTGTGCATGGAACCAGATTTCCTGATGGCGATGAGATCAAGGCCCAAATGAAGACTTCTATTTTAAAGGTACAGACAGTCTGAAGGAACAGTGAGGTAACTGGCCACTATAATGAGAGATAATAATACAATGCAAGGTCGGCTGCTGGAATACATACCTCATTCTATGAACTTTTTGACCTCCCCTCGTATCTCAGCTCAGACTAACTCAGAGGAGAAATGCTAAATCAGAGCTAATGATGCAGCTTATGCTTGGCAGAAACACACATCTTTTTTTTTTTCAAAGGGTACCTCAGTTCACAGGTGTTCTTCCTGTTGTCTGATATGAGCATTAACTCCCAGATGGAAAACACCAGCCCTTTCAGACAGCCAGCTCAAGCTGGAGGAGAGCTGTGTTGAGCAGATTTAGGTCAAGAGTTTGGTTGGGCAACGGTGCACCGTAAAAGGCCACGGATGACGAGTGATTCTGCTTTTTTTTTCTCACAGTGGAATGCAGAGCAAGCAACATTTCTGATAAATTAAAGTTCAGACAGTCGGGCCGTCCTGTTCCCCCTTCCAGTCTTTATGCTAAGCTAGGCTAACCATGCCCTGATCATAGTAGTCATAATCCAGATGAATGAACAGTCTGAGAGATTAAAAAAAACAACAGATCTGATTGGACAGTCAGCACTGCATCCGGCAGTCACTTGGTCCTTACAGCTTGTAGTTTTACTGTCCACCAGATAGTCTCCTAGCTGTGAATGTATTGAGACAAATGTGATACGGGCCAAACCAAAGAATCCAAAGTTGAGTTTTCTGGGGTGTTTTTTGTGTTTATGGTCTACTAGTTGGTGGCAAAGTGGTCCAACCAACAGCCCACTAGTAATGTCACAATGCCACTTTGAAGTTTGGTCCATAATGGTTTTGGATTAAGATTTAGTTGCAAACTGGACCAAGACACACCATTATATCACAGGTGGTTGCACATGTTAGCAATTCAAGATGGCGGACAGCGCAACCTCAAGAAAACTCAACTGGTAGGTACGGTGAGGTAAGATAAAAACTTAATCAACCACCACCAAGCATGTATTTCTACCCCATGGTCCTCAGAAGTCTCTCTAATTCCTTATGATGTAAACTCTTCTGTGCTGTTTATCAAGACAAACCTTGGATCAGTTTGTTTCTCCAGAAGTAGAAAATGTGCTACGGCCCGCTTTGGCACTCAGCAAAAGGAAATTAAACTTAAATAAGTCATCACAAAGCAGCTGTTTCTATCTCTGGACAGTGTATCTTTGGATGCATATAATGACTCCTCCAACAAACAGGATTCTTTTTAGCAACACAGAATTTTGACCCCATGTTTTTCTAAAACTAGTTAAGGCCCACTTTGGCACCAGAACGCTCAATTTATCTGATTATTATGAAATTTCTTCCCAAATGTCCATTTCCAGTCGATGTTTTTTTACCCTCCAGCCTCAGCAGACAGTAAAGTAAGAGCTAAACATCACAAAGGTGAGAGTTTCATTTCTTTGGTTTCAGGTAACTGCTTGGTCCAAACAAGACCCCTCTTCTCTGTTTCTGCCTTTTTTCCTTCACAACATAGTTACAGCTGTTCACAGCCAGCCCGATAAGACAGAAAAGGGAGAGCTTTCTCCTTGTGGGCGCTTGCGTCACAGCCAGATAGTGATATTTACTCCCGTCTCTTCCCATGCGGACCTTTTCTTATAAAGCCCCCACTTTGATTCTCATGGCCATGAGTGAGCTATTGTTGTGAGGCCAAGTGAGTGGTGGTAACATTTTGAGCACAATATGCGTTTGAAAGGCCGACCAAAGCTACTTTACTCTGCTGCAGTCACAAACAACTGGTTTGTAGTGTGTGTTTCCACCGTGTGGTCGACTGGTTTCCAGTAAGTCTCATATAGGAATGTAAAGATACACAGCCATGTGTAAAAGTTTCATATTCAACTTGATCCTCTTTGAAAACGGTGCCTGTGGATGAAGGTGGTCTACTTCAACAGCAGAAATTAGCTCTCGTATGCATGTATGTGTAGCTGTCTGGTGACTGTTTTTAGCTTTGTGACTGTGTTGACTGATGCCTGAACACATTGTGCTGCTGCTCAGTTGATTCTGGAATAACAGCAAAGAAAAAAAGAGAAAATGAAAGATTGTTAGTTTGCTTTAAAACACAGGGTCAACATAAAGTAGTCCAGAAAATCATAAATTAAAAAATCTGTATCATTACCACTTATGTGTTAAAGTAATTATTCTAAACATGTATTATTTTACAGTGGTATATAAATACTCTTGTTAGTTTAGCAAGCTGTGTCCTTATTTGTTAATTGCACCTTGTAGTTTTGGTTTTTATATGTGTGAAGAGGGCTGCAAGGTGGCTCAGTGGCTAGCACTGTTGCCTCACAGCTAGAAGGTTGCTGGTTCGCGTCCCAGTGAGAACACCCTGGATCTTTCTGTGTGGAGTTTGCATGTTCTCCCCGTGCAGTGTGGGTTCTCTCCGGGTTCTCCGGCTTCCTCCCACAAGGTCCAGAAACATGCTGAGGTTAATTGGTGATTCTAAATTGTCCGTAGGTGTGAATGTGAGTGTGCTTGGTTGTCTGTCTCTAAGTGTAGCCCTGTGATAGACTGGTTACCTGTCCAGGTGAACCTGCCTTCACTCTGAGTCGACTGGGATAGACTCCAGCCCCCCACAACCCTGGTGAGGATTAAGCGGTGTATAGATGATGGATGGATGGATACCTGTGAAGAACTTTGTAAACTTGTTTTTGCAGCCCCCCAGATGGTCAGAATAGGTACCCACCTGTCTTCTACCATCCTCTACTCACTGGATGCATACGACTGAGCCTCCATCCATAACTAACGCCATCATTAAGTTCACCAATGACATGACTGAGGTAATTCAGGAGGAGACCCTACAGACATTAAGTCCAAAGACTGATGGTGTGTAGATCAGTCTGGTCCTAAACTCCACAAAACAAAAGAAATCACCTGTTGAACCCCATAACTCCCTGTCTGTCGGTAACAGGAAGCAGTGGTGGTGCTCGGATGGCTGAAAATATAACTGGAACTCAGCGGCCTTCCTCTCGGACCTTGACCTCCTCCGCCCGGCACAGGATTCTGAAGGAGGCTCCGATGCACCGGTGGGCTTCCTCGCCTGGACCCCACCAGGAATCATCCTTCTCCTCTTCAATTGTACAGTCAGGCCTCAAAGCTCATACCCAATAGCTCCATTAGATCCTCGGACAAGAGGTCGTACCCGGCACGAAACTAAAAACGAGCCTTTGAAGTGGAGGCCTCTACCCTATACCTATAGACCTTTGTCATGTAGTCGCAGTCGATGCTTTTAAAAAGGAACTTATCTATTTAAACTGGCCTTTGTCCCATCTGCTATGGGTTTTAATCAGTATCTTTTAATATAACTTTCTATGTTTGGATCTTTTTTTTCCTGGTGCTCTAAATAAACTTTACTAACTGGCATTTAGGAATTTAATTTCTATACTTCAGTGACACTTGAACTCATATCTATAAACCATTAAGCTAGTTATAGTTAATGCCCCTGGTGGCCTTGTGCTTGATGTGGTGGATCCCTTGTGTGGGGAGATGGCTTGCATGGACTTTTGATTCCACCTGGCTGAAGAGCAAGCTTCACACCCCACCTGTAAGTCATTTTGGATGATTGACCCGGACCTCCCCGTTTACTGTGGTGCCTGATTGGACCACCACCCAGTTCCTTCCACCAGTCAAGCTGCAGCAATCACCACACCTTGGGTTTCAATCTGCAGCCCAACTCGGTCAGGGCTTCAATATGAGCAGCTTGCCTCGGTGTAGATGTGCAACTCCCGTTAGCAGCTGTCTCACTTGTTGTCCGTCGTGTTCTGTGTTTACTGTAACCGTTCAGAAATGGTTACTCGCTCCGAGGTTCGTTTACGTCTTTACACTTGCACAAATTTGCTAACTTTTGCAAGTCGTGGGTGTTGCTACCTTGTCTTCCAGTTTAGTTTTCTTTTATCTTGTCGTAGCAAGATTTGTAGCTGTTATCATTCGCTCTGGTTTTAATTGGTTCACACACCAGCTCTGCTTTCTCTGTGGCATCATCACCTCTTCTTTGCTCAATGAATTGCTTCACTAAACCAAGAACATTTGGTTTTGTTCCTAATCAGGTCGTAAGAAGTGACCTAAAGGCCCAGAGACACAGGCACGGTGAGGACTCAGTGGTTTCTGTTGCAGTTTTGTGCCATGCAGAGTCTCAGTCAACAGATCCACCTGCCTCCGACCGTACGTGTCTCATCCTATCTGTTTGTCAAGGCTGCTCAGAGGGTCTGGACACTCTCCCTGTCCTGCCTCCATATCTGTAGCAGAGCAGCTGCAAACAGAGACAACATGCCTACCTAACCAGCGCCCCTCAACCTGGACCCACAACACAGCACAAGTCCACATGTAGGGAAGTAAAGCACAAATACAGGCACTTAGGTA